CTAATGACATCAAAGCCACCCGCACTGCACGAATTGTCTGTTTACTAAGATAGTGCACGTTTCCCAATGTTTGCTTTAGTCTTGATTTTTTGTCTCCATGTTTTCTTTTGTATTGTACATTTTAACCGATTATGACTCGTAAGATCATCAGACTTATCAGTTACTGAACGCTGGCACCGAAAATCCGGCTCTTGACTAAAGGAAACCAGGCCGCTTGTATTCGCTTCAACTCGGGCCTCTGAGCCCTCGAGTTTTATAAGAGAGAATTGGGGGCCTGTCTAATCCTCTCTTAGTTTCTGCTATGTCATGTTATGACATAGCACATATATTGGCCTTCCTTGAGGGGTGGGGCTGGTTTATTAAAACTCAGGCATTCTACAGTCTTACGAAAGTATTAATAATAAGCTAACGACACAGCATAATAAGGTTGAACTGAGGAAGTCAATAAATATACCGTAAAAATAATCCCTATGGTGGAACAATTTGAACTTAATTTTAATTTAAAATTAAAATTGCTTCAGATTAACACTGTCGAAATGCTATAACTTTTTAGCAGAACGTAATTTCGTGCAAAGAAGAATTACATGTTACTTTAAAAACATCCACGACTTAAGACTGAGTAAAAGAAAGGTGCGAGTTTAATTTAAATCTCATTTAAATTAAATGCTGTTCTAATTTGATATCACCTGCTTGCAAACATTATTATGACCATATCCCTTGAAAAAGTGTTGTGTACGAAATACGGAAATCCTTTATTCCTCCAGCAACCGTTCAGCAACCCTGTCAGTGTTATCTTCAACTCTATCCATTAGTCACGTTCATGCATCAGCGACCCTTCTCCTTAAATAATCGTCACTTTAAACACCACATTTCGTAACCAGAGCAACCACTTGTCCTCAACGTTTATTATATTGTGGTTCTCTGTAACATTTTTGAGTCAGAGTAGTCAAGCAACTATTAGTCTCCCGAGTAGCCTCAAAGAGTGCGGTCGAAAGAAATACATGTAAGGATAAAAGATGCGTCTAATTTTTTTTGTTTTTCCTTTTTGTTTCCTTTAAAACGATTTCCAGTTGCTGTTTATTTATTCCTCGTTGTGAAACAGATCTTGACAAAACCCTTATAAAATTAATACCGCGGTATAACGAGGCCGCGTGCATTCCTCGCCGTACTTACAGTGATTTATGCTCCATGTCCCTTAAGATAGTATTATTGAGTCGGTTATTGCTGTTGGTGGAGTCTCGTTTTGGGTGAGCTCTGTTTGGTGGAATACCCAATAATGACAATTCCAGTTTGGGATAAATTTGGCCACAAGAGTGGCTGTTTATTTCATTTAAACATATCAAGCTAGGAAAATCCAGATACACAAGAAGATTTATCCCAGCAAAGGTGAGGGCACACCCGCCACAGCCCGGAGCAAGAAACGAGTGACATACCCCTTATAAAAGGAATACCGCGGTATAACGAGGCCGAGTGCATTTCTCGCCGTACTTACAGTGATATGTTTAGGATAACGAACCCCTATTACTTACGAATACATTTCTCCAGGCAGACCCCAGGTATTCGGTTTATCTGGATTCCAATGCATGTATGATTCCAATTGCTGATGGAATTATGTTACGCTTAAAATGATGTTGTATTGTGGCGGATATAAGATGTATTCAAATTACTGTGCATGCATTAAAAATGTGCTTGTGTTCATTATCCCGTACGATGACCTATTAGGCATTGTTTAAGCCTGAATAATATATAATTATGCACAGTTATCATTTCGCAAAGAGTTTCATTGAACGCGGGTAAAGAAGGTTCTGCTCTGGCACGGTCTGCTGCCGTTTTGTCGGATGCGATGCAGCAGGCCATGCTTCCTTTGCAACCGCAATCAGTACAAGATTTTGGCAATGGAGCACAGTCAGGTGCAGCTGTCTTGGCCGGAACACAAAATGCTGTAAGCTCCGTATTAGGCCTTCGAACTCCACTTCTACACCAGGGAGACATGACGGTTTTTTTTTCTTTGGTACATTTTTTGTGCTATCTGTGGATGCTCCTGTTTTCTGTTTGAGGAGAGTATATTCATTGCCTGTTACAGGGTGAGTTGTTATATATTTTTCTCCGTTTCTGCGGGTCAGCATTCTAAGTCTCGCCCGTGTTTGTTAGGACTCAGCTAAGAATGTACTACCGCCTTTGTGCTGTGGTTTGCTTTACAATTTTTTTGCTCTCGCTTTATTTTTTATTGGCGTTGCCACTTTGTACAAGAATCGTTTGGGATTATCTTTGCCGAGGGGGCTTACGCGCCGGGTGACCTGCTTTAATCTGTCCAAAATAATATATCGATGGTAAGTTCAGCATGTGGGGGGAGTTAACGCGTTTTTAATTTATGTGTTAATTATCCAAAAGACGGCAATGAATCCTTGTGAGCCGAATGGAGGTTAGCGGTGGGGGCTTCGTGATCCCAATTATAAAGTGACTGGGCATCGCTGTGAGCTTGTTTATATAAACAGTGACTTGCATGGGTATCGATTTTAATGAGTGGGCGTCTTTGTGGGCCTGTTTATGCAGCCACGTACGATCTGCGATGGGTATCTTTGTTAGCCCGATTATAAAGTGATTGGGAGTCGTTGTCAGGGGCACCCAACGACCCCCTTACATACAATTATAAAAAAAAAGAAGAAAAAAACAGCCTAGCCTGGGCAGTGAAATGTGAACAATCAAACTTCAGAAAATCGTAGGGAATTTATTAGATAAGCTTCGAAAATTTTAAATGAATGGAACGGTCATCTTGAATTGTTTAGCTGTCCTCAAGTAATAAAATTCTAGTTAATATTTAATTTGCCCCTCCGAAAAAAATACTTTACAGAAAACAGTCTTTGGGTGCCCCTGCTTTGTGACCCCCTTGGGCCCAGGTAAAGTATAACGCTTTCCAAACTAAAATGTGTTTTTCCAAACTTGTAATTTTCCGTCACCCTCATGGAAATTCCTCTGAGTCTATTCTTCACCCTTTGTAGATCTTGTATTCCCAACAACAACAAAACCAATGCAGTAAAAAATGTATTTATTTCACCAGCTAAATCTTACAGGCAGTATTATTCATAAGTAAACATTCTGCATGAACTAAATGCAAAAATTTTGCATTCGATAAAATGAATACAAAATACGTAAAAATCACTGCATCAAGCTAAGTTGCAAAAATTTTGCATCTGGGAAACTGGATACAAAATACCTAAAATTGACTGCATCAAACTAAGATGCAAAAATTCTGCATCTGGAAACTGATACCTAATATCTACTGCATCAAGCTTTATATGCAAAAATTGTGCATCTGAAAACTGGACACAAAATACCTAAAATCGACTGCATCTAGCTAAGATAAAAAAATTTTGCATCTGGGAAACTGGAAACAAAATACCTAAAATGGACCGCGTCAAGGTACAATGCAAAAATTCTGCATCTGTGAAACTCATGGATACAAAATACCTAAAATCGACTGCATCAAGCTA